CCCGAGGGTAAGCGTGGTACCTACGTACAGGCCCGTGAAAATTTCCTTCCGGGTAAGTTACTTACTCGAGGACGTGAGAAGCTAGAAGACTGGAATTTTGAGAGGATGTTTCCAGACAGTTCTAGCGGCCAGTCTGAAATTCTTTCAACTAGAAGCATCTTCCGGAAAAAACCGATGCCGTAGCGACAAAAACTGCGGGGAACTCTGCAAAAAACGCATCTTCGCACAGACAGCCCGAGCGTTGGCCAATTATTTGATCCTGGGAAACAGCAAAGCTAGAAAACTGAAGTTTTAAGGGTATGTTTGCTGACAGACCTGGCGCCAGCTGCGTGTCTTCCGGCAACATTAGTCACCTGCTGGATATATTGTTCGCTCTTCGGAGGCCGCACTCTTCCGAAATCGTCACTTTCTCATGAATCACTCACCAATGCACAACATCTAATAGAAACATTTTTCTTGCACTCCAAAATGATCCAGCTTTTTCTGGTTGAATTTTGCAAGTTTTGGCGCGAAGAATTATTGTATGGAAAACCACGAAAGCAGGGAACTGAAATTTTACGGGTATATCCCCTGCTCAAGTACGATTCGGAAAATTTAAACTCAGCCTTCCCCTTGCCCACGGATAACATGTATGGCTCTGTGAAAGTTTTGACGAGGAAAATTATTACTTGGAGAACCGCGGAAACTAGAAAGCTGAAATTTTAGAGGGTTGCTTCCTGCTTTTAATTATTTTAATTACGTTTCCGCATTTTTCTTTTAACAGTCTCCACCAGTTGAAGAGAAAAATGGTCACTTTTTCTGGCAAAACAAGAATGATTAGCCGTTCCCTCGATGTGGTACTGAACTAACGTTACCTGTATATATTTCAGGACTTTTGGGTTCTTAATCAGTTCACCGTACGTGCGACGTACAAATCCAATGACCAAAGTGCAATACACCATTAGAAATGATCGAGAACCGCCCTGTATGCTTGCAAATCTTTGTAAGTTATTTCTTGGCTGAAATCATTTTAAAACTTGGGTTTCCGTAGCCTTTTTTCAAAGAGTTGTATTTGCAGAAAATTTGTCCTCATATTTTTTTGCAGTTTCTCCTCAAATGAGCTAATTGCGTGAGTTTAGCTTGGAAGCCTTATTAAGGTTTAGAGTTACTTTAGGCTTTAATTTACCCTAGTTTTAGTTTTAAACGCAGGCTTTTGCTGCACTGGTGGGGGTGCCAATG